AAGGAAAGGAATGGAATGATAATAAAATCTTGTGACTGACCAGAGTCTGAGACAGCTGTGATTGGCCATTAATTAAAAACAACCACATGAGACCAATCAAAGATGCACCTGTTGCATTCCACAGCAGCAGATAATTATTGTTTAAATTTTGTTTCTGAGGCCTCTCAGCTTCTCAGGAGAAAAAATCCTACCAAAAGGATTTTTCATAAAATGTGTCTGTGACAATAAAGATTTTTATTTTTTTAAACTGAATATTTACGTCAAATGTATTTTTCTTTTTATGGCTGCCTGCCAAAGGTACATAGGAGGAGGAGAATTTAAAGACAATCTGTCATAGCATAATGAGAGAACCAAGAACAAAAAGGATGTAGGAGTGTGTTGGAGAAGAACGTAAACAGTATGTGTGGAGTGATGAAACTTGTTGCATGGCATTCTGTTTAAATGGGCCAGTTCAGGCGTCTGGGTGAGTCATGCCAGAACAACACAGGTCTCACCATGAATAAACTGTCCAGGTTTATTCAATTTCTTGTAGGGTAGGATTTGTGCTCTGTACTGATTCAGTGCCCCTGAGAGAGGTCTGCAGTGTGTGGTTTATAGTAAATGCTCACCTGTCATGTCTGTGGCACACATTGCTGCTCCTGTACTGTAGTGTGGCTTTAAGTGTCAGCATGGAGAAACTATCAGAGGCTTTGACTGTAACTGTGAGAATATTATGTCTTTTCCTCCTCTCTCTTGGTGGTAGATTTATGAGGGAAGCAAAAGATTGCTCCAGTCTGTCTCATGTAGCAGCGAAGTGAGCCTGGCACACAACTACAAGAGTATTTCTGTTAGCTTCCTTTTCTTTTTGCCTTAATCTTTGGAATAGTGCAAGTCATCCAAGCAATATTTTGTTTTTTGGAAGGGAAGTTGGGAAAAGCTATTTTTAACCAGGTTATAATTAACACAGGAAGTAGCTCATGAGTTTCACAGTGTACACAATAGCTTGCAGAGCTGAAAAGCTGCCCTAATTTGGAGCACGTGGTGCAATGCTGTAGGCAAGGATGTATACAAGTGATGTGTTTGGATTCAAAACAGTTTATATGTCAAGAATGCTCAATTTCCATTTTGTAGCAGGAACCAAGGGATGTCGAGACCGTCTCACTCACAGCAGTTTTTAGGGAATGAAAGATTGTGAAGCATGTGCTCCTAATTTTAAGGCTGACCTCTTAGCCACTGAATTATTTTCTTTCCAAATAATACTCTGTTGTACAAGCATGTCCTGCAGGGGCACAGCCAAGCCAAATAACTAAAGAAAGGCAACCAATAGAATAAAGAGCCTTAATGCTGCATACTCTGCCTTTAGAATCACAATATATGTTTGACTTTTGGCCTTTTAACTGGTGGTATTTTCTAATTTTAGAAATGAGCCACAGGCAGCAAGGTATAATTCAAAATTTAATATGGTTAAATAGCAGCAGTAGTGGGTATTTGTGTTAATAGCTACTACATTATAGTGACTGATTTCATTGTTTCAACGAAACAAGAGCAACAAGACATGGCTGATCCATTAGAAGGCACTCAGATCCCTCTATGGAGTTGGTGGTCCTGGGATGAATGTACATCTGGAATTCTTATATCTGCTGAAAAGCCCAATTACAACAGTTAAAAACATGTGAAAGGCAAAAGCCCTTATTTCAAGATAAAATACCTTGGGGTTGTAATTGGCATGATTAATGATTTTAATTGGATTTCATCCAAGAAGCCTATAATTTTAGTGCCAGAGGACATGTCAGCAGCAAAGACTTGTCTCTTTGGTGCTGGCTGTAACTTGAGAACAACTTCAGGTAACTGTTTGGTAGAATAAAGCATTGGGTACTAAGTTAATTTTTGGCAATGACAGGACACTATTAGAAACTGCTACTTCTGTGGTAACTTTGAGCAACAGAAATTTTCTATTTTATGTTGATTTTTTTTTTTTTTCATTTTTCCTTCCTTTCCAGACACAGCCTTGGCAAGACCTACAACATAGTTCTGGGATCTGGTCAGGTGGTGTTGGGGATGGACATGGGCCTTCAGGACATGTGTGTCGGGGAACGACGGACAGTTGTTATCCCACCTCACCTTGGTTATGGAGAAGATGGAGTTGGTGAGTGCACATCCACTTAGCATCTCCAGAGTGACTGAAACACAGGCATGCATGTTTTATTAGTTGCCTGGATGGGTTTTTTTTTAGAGATTTTTCATGTCCTTATTTTAGACAGTCCCCCTCTTCCCTGTTCCCCAGTGGACATGCTGTCTGTGTTGCATTTCAAGCCATGCTGTTGCTGTGGCCAACAGAGTACAAAAGGCAGCACGTGCCCCCAGTAATGTTGCTTTGTCAGAACAGAAAGCTCCAGGCAGTCTGGTGTTGCAGAGGGATGCAAACACTGTTTTCCATGACAGGGAGTTGGGTGCTTGTGTTTGGACATGTGGTGTTATTCAGAAGACAGAGCTGCAGGGGACTGGTCAGCCCTAATATGTTAGGAAATTCAGAAGATACATAAACTGAGTATAAGATGTGAAACAGTGTATTGGTGCAGTTAAAACTCCAACACAAATACATTTTTAGGGCATTAAGGCTTAACAATTTTTAATGCTGTGGACAGCAGTAATAGAAAGAATGATATAGAAGTGACAAGAACTTTTATGTCCAGGTACGTTGTTTCTGGTCTTGCTGGTTAAAAGGTTTGAGGGAAAGGAGTCTATAATGAGATCACCAAGATCACCAAATTCTGATGTGCACAGAAACAGTTGCATAAGTTGCTGTGTTCTTTGAATAGCTCCAGAAAAGTTTGTAGTTTATAAAGACTGTCAGGCATCACATGCAGAGCTTAATGGAAAATTAATTTGTGTTAAGAACTAAGAATATATTTCCACTTGGACCTGTCTTCTGTGAAAAATTAGGAGTTTACCATATATACAATGTTTTATACAAGATTTTATCTATTATACATGATATGTAATTGCATAGCTATATGTAATAAATTGAAAATTTCCTCATAACATGAAAAGTCTGCAGTGTAAGATACCTGTCATAAGTATTTGCCATTGTTCAGGGTACATTTGATACACATTCTGAAACATTGTATGATTTGTTACTGTGTTGGTATATGCCCAGCTATTTGAAGAAATTGCTTGGTTGCAATTTCTGTCTCTTGCAAACAGATTAGAGGTGAGTTTTCTTTTTCAACACTAAATTAAACTCCTTCCATGGCTTCCCTGAGGTAATATCCCAGGGTGTTGAGTCTCACAGCAGTATGCTGGTACACAGTGTATTGGCAAGATAAAGGAAAATGGATTATTCCCACAAGTTTAGTTTTTGAAAGTAAAAAAAAAAAAGGATGCAATTTGAATCATGGACTTATAGAATGGTTTGGAATGCAAAGGACCTTAAAGGTCAGCTAGTTCCAAGCCCCCTGACATGGGCAGACACCTTCCACTAGAATAGGTTGGTCAGGGCCCCATCCCAATTTGGCCTTGAGCATTCCTAGGAATGGGGCATCCACACTTCTGTGGGCAATCTATTCCAGTGCTTCAAGTTTTATTTTGAAAAGTTCCTTTTATGATCACCCTTGGTGAAGTGATCAGGAAGATTTGGTGGGTTAGGGATCACACTAGAGAAGTGTCTTTTGGAGCAGGAAGATAAATTTAATTTTGGTTAAAAAGGAAATATCCCCTTCAATGTAAGTGAGTATAAATACCCCTCTTTGCCATTTGTTGTGACAGAAGGAGAAGTGCCTGGTAGTGCTGTATTAGTTTTTGACATCGAACTGCTGGAATTGGTGTCTGGCTTGCCTGAAGGATACATGTTTGTATGGAATGGGGAAGTCTCTCCCAACCTTTTTGAAGAAATAGACCAGAATCATGATGGAGAGGTTCTTTTGGAGGAGGTAAGCTGAGATGATGTAAACACTTGCAGTGGTTCTTTTTGACCACTATCAATGCCAATTTTGAAGGATGGAGTCTTTCCTCATTTTCTTCTCTTCTTCTGGAATAGTGTTTGTCATCAAGGGAACAGGAAGGCAAGGTATCAGCTAAAACAAGGCTATTCAGCTTTTGAGTTAAAGAAAAAAGGACAGTAAGAATGGCCAAACTGCATAAGATCATTTTCTGTTGCGGTTTCCTTGGTCAGCAACAAATCCTTAGGGCATAAGTGTAAAAGGCAGAGTTGGTATCCAGTATTCCTTTGCTGTATCAGCCTTCTTGCTGTCTGTCTCTGTGTTAATTGGCAGTTTGTGGTGAATTCTTGAGCCAAAGCTGGGCCTGCAGCAGTGTATCCAGGAGCTGTCTAATCTCTTCTGGAGCCTGGCAGTGCCAGTGGCCACTCCTTACACATATGAATTGTGTGCTGTGCAAAGTTCTTCCCCTTCCTTGCTTTTAAAATCTGCATTGTGAGGATGTCATTGCAATGCCCCAGTTGAAAGCCACTTGCTTTTGCCACACCTCTGATAACATAAAATTCTTTATATTCTTTCAAATTATATTTTTTTATTCTCTTCCGAAGTCTTCTTTGTCACCTTTCTCTATCTTCCTGTTTTGTCTTTTCTTCTTTGCCCCTTCTTTTCTCCCTGGAGTGGTGCTGCCTGCAGTGCTCACAGGGCAGGCTGTGGCCCTGTGGAACAGCATGTAATGTCTTTGAGGATTTAAAAACTAATATGGTAAAATCGAATTCTTGTTTTCTCTTTTCCTAGCACTCTCTACCACCTCTTTTGTTTTCCTTCCATCTCCATCTTCTCTCTTATGTTTACCTCCACATCTGTCCTTGCAGAGAAGAAAAAAGCTTTGACTGGTTTAGAGAAAGAGGTGGGGTGAGGCTGTTGCTGTCCACATCAGCAATCATCCTTGTGTGTTGTCCCCTCTAAGATGCAGGTGGGTTTCTGTTTTACAGTGAGCTTCATGTATCGCCATGCAGAATTACTGCCCTCCATCTGTAAAGAGCTGTTCCTATGTCCAGCTGTCCAACCCATCTTCCTCCTAAATGATGAAAAAGAACTTTCCTTGTTATGGGTCCAAAACCCACTGGAATGAGTGAGGAAATCCCTGCTGAGCTCCACAAAGAGTCATTTAACCTCATGTGTCTGTTCTAATTAGTTCAGTTTGGGTGGTAAACTTTATAGGGTAGTAACAGTGTCCTATGTACATTTAATAAGTAGTAAAATACTGGATGCTTTTCATTTTCAAATATCCTTTTCACTGTGAGCTGTTTTCTTCTCTTTTTCCCCCCTTTTAGTTTTCAGAGTACATCCAAACTCAAGTTGATACTGGCAAGGGAAAACTAGCTCCTGGCTTTGATTTTGAGAAAATTGTTAAAAATATGTTCACCAATCAAGACCGGGATGGAAATGGTAAAGTTACTGCTGAAGAATTCAAGTTGAAAGATCAGGAGGCCAGAGAGGAGCACGATGAACTGTAAAGATAAGAAAAAAACCAAGAATCCTGAGCTGACCTGCTGTTCAAACACGTGTACCAGAAGGAGTTTTGGCAAGCATGGTTCTGGAAGGAGAGCCCTCGGATAGCCTGTGTCTGCCTCTGCCTGGGTGTGGGTAGGCTGTTAAAATAGGAGCAGATTTTCAGTTGGAATTGTTAGGTATATCTGAAAAAAGTGTTAAGTGCCTCAAGGTGGGATGTATAGACAGGTAAGGAGTGTCCTGCTGTATGTGGTGCCGTGAACCACATGTGTGTGTGGGGTCTGCTTTTATGCTAAAGATCCAAAGTTCTCACTGAACAATTCACGGTCAGTTGGGTGGATGGTCGAGAGAAAACCTACCAAGTGCTTTTAAAAGAGTTTTAAAAAACCTTCTGTATCAGAAATATTTGTGTAGGAAAATGAACCAAAATATTCCCCATAACAATAACCTGTAAAAGTTGTCAGCTCTTGATCCCAGTTCCTTTCAGAAGGCATGAGCACTCTTCCCAGTAAATGAACAAACTCACATAGGTTTTTGCCAGCAGAAAATCTGATTTGCAAATTGCAGAAACATGGCTGTGCCATTGCAAAATTTGCATAAGCTGTGACTTAAATTAAACAGACCTAGAATTGATACTGTGTATGTGTTGGGTTTTTTACCTCACGGACTAAAAGCTTCCTACCATCTGTACTGTGCTGAATTAGTAACCTTGATTCTTGCTGGACAGTGTTCCCATCAGTCATTCCAAAACTTTTCTAGTTGCAGCCTCATTTATAGTTTTGTTAGACATTAAATATTAACATACACGGTCCAAATGCTGTCATAAATACTGGACACAGTTGGTTTTATGTTGGGCTTCTGTCTCCTATTTTGGGAATTGGTAGATTAAGGAGTAAGTACTTACAGTTTAAGCAGCAGAGCAGTCTGCAGTGGCAAACAAACAGACAGACAGTGATAGAATCAAGAAACAGCCCCATCTGTTTGTGTGTGCTAACGTTCTGGCCCAGGCCTCAACACAAAGTCAGCCCTGGGAGTGCTGCTCAGATTCTGTGACTCGAGGCAGTCACCCCTGTTAGCTCGACAAATGCAGCAGAGCTGCTCCCTACTAAATACACCAGACCCATTTTCTGGGAGGCCCTGGGATCCCCCTCAGTACACAGCATGCCAAGAGCACAAACACATAGAGTGAGACACTGTCAAGGAGGAGTGGGCAGGGAGTTGTGTTTTCATTATAAGCTTATAAGCTTTGTGTCTAGTTTCTTGCTTTCCTTGGTCTGTACATGTGGGATGTAAGCTCCCTGAGATGCTCTTTCTAAAAATTGGTATTTCAGATGAGAACATTTTGTGTTGGTTTTTAATGCAGTTCTTACAAAAAGTGCAGTGAAATATTTTTTTGAGTTTGATACCATTAAATGTTGGATAACTGATCTTTTTGTTAAATAAAATATTGATCAACTATTAAAATTTCTTTTCTTTTTCTGGAGTTTTGATGGGTTGGGACCATGAGTTTAAGCAGATGCTCTTCCTGCAGCTCTCTTCTCTTGTACACAATAGGCTTACCCTGAATATGTTCAATACTGCTATTAATGTTCATAAAAATATTTTAAACTATGATTAATGGATGATTTTATAGCAGATGTAGAAGTTGTGGCTATCAGGGACAGGCACTTCTATTCCCAAGTCTGGGTCCAGAATGGCTCTTTACCATCTTGTGAAAGCAGCTCTTTCAGCAGACTGTTTCTCCCTTTTGCTTTACTTGGAAACGGGTTGCTCACTTTTTGCTGTGCTTCAGATGCAGTCCCTTCTGTGTGCTGACAAAGCTGAGAGAAGGAGTGGGAAGCAAGTTGTGATTGGAGTACTGCCAGAAGCAGAATTCAATGTGGGAGCAGCTCCTTACTCTGTTCTCATATGTACCCCCAAAAAACCAAGTCTGTCTTATGGATATCCCCCCTCCTTTTGGGGGGATGGAACTCTCAGGTCTTTAAGGCCCCTTCCAACCCAAACCATTCTGTGGTATCCTGAATTGTTTTGTCTGAGAAAACCTTAGTGAATGAACCCCATTTTTCTGCACGGAAGAACATTCCAGATGGATCCCAGATGGGCTGAAGAGTTCCTGGTAACCAGGATAACAGAGTTGTCCTCCGGGGCAGATGCAGAAGAAGGAGCAGCGCTGAAGTGCTGTCAGTTGGTGATCCCAAAAATTGCTGTGCTGGTTTTTTTGGAAGTGCTTGTCAGTGATGGGATAGCAGGGATGACTTTACCAGTGCCTCTGGCTAGGGCAAGTACATCTGAAATTCTCATGCCATTGCTCCTTGGGCAAACAGGGCTCATGATCCAGCTAAAGATCATGATCCAGCTAAAGATGTTTCTCCTTCAATAGGAAGTCTTTGTTGCCTCCTCACCTCATCCCTCCAAGCCTGCAGGTTGCCATTTTAGAAATAAGAATGCAGCTTTGGGGAAAAATCAGAGAATATATGGAAAAACTTGCTATAAAATAATGGTGTTTATATGCTTAAAATCCAGACTTTCTGCTCACTAACATAGATCCAGTCCTTTTCCTTTCTTTTGGCAGCTATTAGCTTCTCCCTTGAAGGAAAGCTTGGGGCCACCTTCTTCTATGTCAAACTGTAAAATATTTTTTTTTTAAGGAGAAACTAGCTATTTAGAATTAATCTAGCTGTCTATTTACAATTCATCTATTTAGTAGCATTTTGTTGCTAGTATTTAGAATTTGCCTATGTAGAATTTATCTATTAATATCTACTACCTCCTAGTATTTAGAACTTAGCTATTTAGAATTATCTATAGAATCTCTCTATTTTGGGTTTGTTTATTTACAGAATTAGTATCTAGATATTTTTTTACAATACTTAACTGAGATTACTTTATAAAAATAGATATTGGCTCTCAAGGGTCATTAAGCACCAGATGTAACTGGGCTCAGCTAACGAGGGGCTCTCCAGAACTCAGGCTGTTCCTACTCCTCTAATGAAACAGGCAGCTGCTATTCTCAGAGCTGGCAGCTGACTGCTGTTAGGAAAGAAGTTGCTGGCAGCCAAGGTTGGCAATTGGTGACTGAATTGTCAGGGGCTCAGTGGAAAAGAAAAGCAACAGGGGTTGCTTTACCCAGAAAAACCCAGGTATTTATGAATAGCTTTTTCTGTGTGATTTTTGTGTCCTAATTTGATAGCAATGCTTTCTGCTGTGTAACTCTATCTGGTGCAAGTATAACAGACATTATACTCAAATCAGAATTTGCAGTTGTTGAATTTCAGTATTATGTTTTTCTTTGTGGAAAAAATATTTGGATTTTCCTTAAAACTTGAAAGTGACACATTTATCTAGTATGGGGTGCAAGTTTTTAGCTCAGTTCAGCAGTATCAGTATTTGACAGTGGGAGGACATTTGAGCTGGCTGCAACACCCGCTAAGAGGAGGGTTCATTTTCAGCTAAATAAAGGTCCCAAATACTTGACCTTGGACATGCACTACAGACAGAACAGATATTGTGAGTAGAGGAAGAAAAAAGAGTAACAAATCCACTTAATTTTGTTTATTCTTTTCATTTAACTTTAGATATACTCTTTTGGCTATGGGAAAATAGTCTGGGAAATGCATATCTTTCTTTTCAAACTAAGTCATAAATTAAATACATTTTTAGGGTTGCAAAATGTTTCTGGTTAGAAATTTTATTTGGAAAGACATACTACTCACAGTATTTCTTAAAATTGAAAGGACAATCTTGCTAGCAATTGCAAGAATTAGACCAGCTGGAGAAGGATGGCTTAACCTGTAGGTGTAGAGTTAATTTTGTTTGCAGGTAATTTTGGTCATGGTTTTAGAGAGGCAACTGATAATACAAATTCTAATTTCTGTACAACAGTCTCATGATAAAACAATGAGATTTTGATAAAGTGGAATAGGATATTTAAAAATGCATCTTGTGTTTTCCCTTAATGTAATACTAAGCAAGAGTTATGGCTGGCAGTGGGATGTGAGATGATGAACAGACAATGAATATCTGTACAACACAATGCAGGTTTTTAAAATCTGACCTCCTTCAGGTTGATTGCATAAGTAACTGTTTTTTTCTATAAAGTTGTATGAATGGCATTTCAAGAAGTAAATTATTTGGCATGGAGATACCCCTTGTACAGCAAATACAAGGAACTGCAATGTGGCTGAATTGCTTTCAAGTCCTAGCAGAGGTTTACTGCTCTAGCAGATCCTTAACACAGGTTCTGAGACTAAAAGGATTTAATGACAGGAGAAAAGTGTGCTGGAGATCTTAACTTACCTGCATCTTTGTGGAAGGGCAAGAATCCTTTTCTTTAAGTGATTGTCATTATGGATTGAACGTTCACTGTCCACCTGCTTGGAGGTGAGGTTGGAAAATCTTCCTTACATAATGCTTGAAAGATGCTTCCTTACATAATGATTGAAAGGTGGTCATCTGAAATCCTCTACCAGTTTTAGATGTATATGTAGTTGGAAAACCATCTCATTTTCTTCTGATATGGGTGGGTTCTAGGGAGGCTGAATACTAATTTCAGTAATTCAGAGTAAGATGCAGTTAGAAATCTGTTTTGGTAACTGCTTTTAAAGATGCTTCCTAGTCCTTTTCTATATTACTCTGGATATGCTCTTCCATGTGGTTTTGTTTGTTTATTTGTTGGGTTTTTTTTTTAATTCTGGGTTGAACAAGATCTTCATCATGCTGAAGGAGTGGTGGCTTGTTCATCTGCTGAGTGAGGCTGAGGAAAAATTCTGCAGAGAGGATCAATGAGTTTATGTGTATCCTGAGAAGTTTGATGAAAACATGGGACATTTCCCTTCTCAGAAGCACTGCACAGAGAGACCAGAACTGCCCCCTCCTTTTCACCAGTGCTGGGATAATCAGGGAAATCCATTACACCTGTAGTCAGAATGTCAGAGAGTGTTGCTGACACATCTGTGCTATGAAGCTGTGACTATCAGCTACACTTCACATTCTCTAAATTTTAGCTGTTATCTGTATTCCAAAGATAAACTGCCTGTAAATGGAAAACTTGGTCCCAGGGGACACTTTGGTAATAATGCCTGGTAATTAGACTCTTGCAACTAGACGCTGGTTGAGTAAGCAGTGCATCCAAACACCTTGATGTTTTTCAGAAGGCCTTTGCCTTTTGGACTTTTATTTGGCAGCTATGACAAAACAGCCAGCATGATTGCCTGTTTAAAAAGGCTCTAAACCCAAGATTCACTTACCTTACTCCCCTCCTCTCAAAACCCTAATATTAGCCCAGCCAGTGTAAGTTCTGCAGGTGCCTAAAACCCCAAAAATGAGCTGTTAAAGAAGTTGTGTCTGCAGAACTCCCTGGAAATGCTGCAGCATTCCCCAAATCCTTGCAGTGCCTGGTGGTGCAGACCAGGTCACTGGGTGGGCAGCTCATGCTGATGCCCATGAGGAGTCCCACCGAGCATGGCCCTGCTTGTCCTGCCCATGGTGCTGAAGCTGCGGTGCAGGCACAAGGGAGGCTGTAGGGAGGCTGCTCTCTCTCTGTTTTGCCATGACCATCCTGCCCTTCTTCCTGCCCCAGGAAAATGGAGCAGACAGGGAGAGAGGCCACAGGGACTGGGCCAAACTTCACATCCAGTCCCTGTGACTGCTGCCTCAGCAGCTGTCACTGTTGCCATCAAGCTCTCCCCATCTTTTGGCTTTGGCTGACAGGCTCTTAGCAGCTGTTGCTCCCATCTCCTCCTGTCCCTGGCACTGCCAAGGTGCCTTCAGCTCTTCCAGTTTGCTCCTGCTGCCTGAGTCATGTCTCTGGAATGGAAGGCAGCCAAGGCACTATCCTCAAGGTCCTCATCTTGATTGTCCTACTGGTTTTCTTCTCAAAGGTCCCAACTCTGGCCTCCTGGCTGCCCCTGTGTCAGGCCTAGGGAATTGCATGACTTAAGGTTTTGTACAAGGAGGACATCATCCCTCAAACACTGCCTGTTCAGGTGCAGGATGGAATTTCTAAAAGGTCCCTGTGCTCAGCAGTTCCCTGATGGCACACCATTGTGCTGTGAGATTTGTGAAAGGATGCTCACACTACCTCTGATTTTGTACTGAGCCTCTGCCCTGCATTCAAAATACAGGGATGATTAATTTCATTTTACTGCAGAGGATGCAGAGGTGGGGTATGGAAACTATCCTCTCTCTTCCCTTCTTGGATAAGTTCTGGCAGCGGTAGTAACAGATGTAAAGCTGCTGATTTGGAAAAAAATGTGTCTGGTAATACCAAGTCAGAATTTTAATAACAGACCAGAGGCTGTAAGGAAAGTGGCCATTTCTTGAGATGTGTTGTAATTCTGGTGGAAGAGAATGCAGATCTAAACTCTCCCACATTTTCATTACAATTCCTCAGGGAACGGAAGATGGCACAGTTTCTGTTCTGTATAAAAGAAAGCAAAGGGGAACAATGATTATATTCCACATTAGATTAGAGGAGTTGCATGATTTGCTCTCTTTTATTAATGAATAGATTTAGTACAGCCCAGACCTCACAGGAGCAGGGTCACAACATCATCTTTAACTCATCCTGCAACTTATCTGAGCAAGCTTCTGAAATTGTGGCTGTATTAAGCTGTACTCTGTACACAATGCTGAGAGGTGCTGTAATGTTTCAGTACAGAGGATAAACTTTCAGAAGATTTTTTTTGTGGTGAGGGTGGTGAAACTGGCACAGGTTGCCCAGAGAGGTGGTAGATGCCCCATCCCTGGAAACATCCAAGGTCAGGTTGAATAGGGCTCTGAGCAGCCTGGTCTAGTTCAGGATGCCCCTGCTCATTGCAGGCAGGCTGTGGACTATCAGCTTGTGAAACCATCCATTGTTACAAAGATGAGAAAATTTATCTCAGACACGCTAACTTAAAACATTCTTCCCATTTCACAGAGGATAAAGAAACAGTAAGAATAGAGAATGTTGTGTGATGATGCAAAAAATATGAAGAAACACTTTGCCTGAATTGGGTGAATAAAAGCATTTTTACTGATGAAAAATATATGTATGAAAAACTTTTGTGTGAAATTATGTAGCATATGAGTAAGATCCTTCAAAGTACAGCTGAGACCAAAATGTCTTTGAAAAGGCAACAAATGCACAGTCTCCTTACAGAGCATTTACACCTTCAATTTTACAAAATAGCCACGTTTTCTAAATGCTGCTCCGAAATGCCTGATTAAAAAGGACAGTGAACCACAGTATCCCATCAGCAGCAGTTTATCACATCTATAAATCCAATTTAGATCTTGTTATAACAGGAGTGTGAGACAATAAAGAACAGTGTAAGAGCAGTAAAAGGAGCTTGTAGTTGATAATTGATACAATATATATTCCATAATACCAAAATGAAGATAAAAGTTTTAAATTAAATCAAACAGTTCCATAAATGAATAATAAACACATCTAAGATAGCACATGTGTGCTCTTCTGTCCAGTTGTCTCCTGGAAGAAATGGAGTGACTTGAGACTGCAATTTACAGGATTTTCTGTAGAATGGAGTTGGCAACTTCCAGGGATTCATCTTTCACCAAGACAATATCATAAGAGTCCATGTATTTTTCCAAAAGCTCATCTACCTAATTGCAAGAAGGGATAAAGAGAAAGACCCCCTTAGTTAAAAATTAATTATTGAAAGAGTTTTTGTCATTAAAATATTGCCCAATCTTTCCCAGATTCTCAGAATAAGCCATGTAAATAATGTATTACCCCTACAAGTGAATTCCACAGGAGGACAGAGTAGGAGTGGCCTGACCTAAAGTGCATTCCAGGATATAATAATCATGTTTATTCCAGGATCTCACACATAGAGATACTGAAAGAAGAACTATTCCTGGAAGGGCAGGGAGAAATATAAAAATGAAGTTTCTCTCCCATCAATCCAAATGGATATTCATTATAACTTAGCAAATAATCAATTGAGTGTCACTTAAAAACCCCAAAAAGTAAAAAGAAAAGAGGAGGGACTGCCTGGATTTGTTATTTGTGAGATTATAATTTTTCTCAATTATCAATTTAGTACTGAAAGGAGGAGAAGCCACAGGAATTTAACAGAATTAATTTTCATTGCCTCTGAATTTTACTTCTCTAGGAAACACCTATTTAGAAGTAGTTCTTTACAAAAACCAAGGCAATATATACTTGTGGCTCTGAGCTTACTAGGGTTAGAAAAAAATCCATGAAAAAATGTTTGAAATGTCAACCCAAATAGGTTAAACACTTGGTTTGATATCTGAACCACATTATAACAAATCTGTTTCTAACTCCCAGTGTTTCATTCAAAGCTTACAAGGTTATGTAAAGCTACTTACTTTATCATTGAGATAGCCAATCTTAAGAATGTGCTCAACATTTGCTACTCCATCTGCCATACTCAAGTCTCCTTGAGAATCACCCAGCAGTATGATATTGCTGTTGTCTTTTAGCTGTTTGAAGTACTCTGTGTTCTTCAAGGCACCATCATGTTTGTTGTAAACATGAATCAATTCTCCTTTAAATCCTTTTAATATTCCCTATTGAAAAAAGCAACACTGAAGTTATGTCTGGTACCATTCAGGCAGGACAGCATCGAGAATGAAAGAGGTGATGTTACTGTTGAGCCAAGACTGAACTACATAATCTGTCATGATGAACAAGATGGGTTAGTTTAGAGTAATGTCATGGCTGTGACAGCACAGTTAGGAGCAGGCAGACAATGATTCTCCCTGCTTGGAGGAGTGTATAGATCTATCTCTATATATATCTATATATATCTATCTTGTAGTGTGTATAAATAGATACGAAATGCTACAAATAGTGTGGTATATATCAAACATGTTTGAGAAGAATGTGTTATTTCATACGTACATTTTCATCAAAATCCATGAAATTGGAAACCACTTTGACATTAGAATGGTAGACCCCAGCCTGGTGGATTACTTCCTCAAGAATGTCACCAATCCCAGCAGAAAATATGAACACAGGAATATTATGTTCACTGAGCTTATCAAAGAAGTTCTCATACCCTTCTCTGCAACACAGAATGAAAATACAAATCAAGTCTCAAATAAAGAAAGCCAAGAAAAGTTCCAGTTTTTAGGAGACAATCACATCATTTCTGGAAAATAATTGATATTTCCTGAGCACTTTACTGCATTTCTTTTACTTCACCTTTTCAGGTCAGCAAGAACCATCAACCTAACACAAGGCATGTTTGCAAGTAACTTTTGCATCAAGCTGTTTAGTATTGGTCTGTATAATTTCTGTCCCCAAGATATCTAATCATGTTTTAAAGATTTAAAAACATTTTCCCCTCCCTAAGTACTCCAGAACAAGCTATCAGAGCTCACTCTAGCTACTATCAGGCTGTACATCTCTTTTCAATCTTCCTTGCTTAAATATGTGACTTTCTTTAGGGTCATTACTATAAAAAAATTTGTCTTTAAATCTTCTAAACATTTATTGTTTTGTTTACTGAAAGATTGTTAGTATGCAGTACCCTATGTATAGCATTCCAGGGGCAAGATAATATTATCTCTATATGCTTTCTCCATACAGACATAGATTGGTAGAATTTTACATTTAAAAAAAAAGTATTGTGAAAGTTCTGGAAAGAATTTTAGCTTGTGAATGAAGATTCAATCAACATGGACTTAAGCTTTCAAAAAGGCAGACACTGGGTCCTTGTCTTTTGTACAAAAAATAAGGATTCAGTCAGTGTTATAAACAAATACTTCCCCAATTTAAATTCTAACATCCTGTTTCAGTATTCCAAAATTTAGTTTTTACAGGGCTGTCAAAGAGATGGAAATCACAGCACATTTTGGACAAGGATTTTGCTGTCTTTTAAACTTGCCTTCAGCCATAGAAGAACAATATTTGATACAACATACGAAACATGTTCCTCAAGTGTTTCTCAAAGGAATTAAGTTACACGTCACATTGCTTTTAAAAAAAAGGGATCACCAGTGCCATTTAAAGAGGATGAAAGTCTACAGAAATTAAGCTTGTAGAGAAGGGACTAAAAAAAGTTTCAGATCTCTGCTTTATACACTGAGATTATTGTCTGTATTTAGATTGATACAACACACCAATTAAATGGGAGCATGGAGAGCTCAATGTGGTCCAAGGTTGAGGTGTCTCATTCTCAGGGAAATGTGTGGGTTTTTTAATTTCTCTTTTCTTTTTTTTTTTCCTCCCCCCCAACACTCAGGAAGAATCTACAGAAAATGCTCTGAAACAGATTGATATAATTCAAATTAAAAAGAACTTACTTCAGCATAACATCAGATTCCCTTACAATTTCTGCAAACTTGTCCTTCTGTAAGCCTTGTTCAATGAGTAGTGCGTGAGATTTATGGTACCTAGAACATAAACAGAAAATGGGTTGAATGTTGCTTACATCACACTGCAACACTTACTAAAGATCACCTTTCATTAAATTTCATGATGAAAAAAGCATCCAGTATGGTAAATTCTTGCTTATTCAGGTTAAGAGCAAAACAAAACCAGTTGTACAAAACTTTAAGAGATTAATTCTGTTAATGTGATAGCTACAAGCTAAATACTGCCATTAATTTGCTTTTAGAGACTTACTAAATCTAATATTAGTACAATCTGAAAATAGGAGCTGTGTCTTACCATTCTACCATATATGGGTATTTCTCTTCAATGGTGAGAGCTGGATCAATTTCAATGGCATAGTAAGTTTCTTTCAGCTGAAGTAACTGAAGGGGGAAAAAAACCCATCAGATGTTTAATGTATTTCATAAAATACATTGGAGTTTGGTCTAAGCAATCAAAAGAACACTCTTGTCAGGGAATAATGACAAATGTCTGTACAACAAACCAAATACTTGTAGGTTTTTTGTTTACCTTTTTCCGACATTCATCTGTGATGATCTTAGAGTTATCAATGATGTCTGGGAAAGGGGTGAAAAAAAAGACAGTTAAACAAGATGATACATTTCTTTTACTTTGCTCTACAACACTGTAAATGACACAGATGACAATGTCTGGTGACATACCAATATGTTTCCTCAGAACCATTCTTACCGGCAACCAGCAAAAATTTTTCTTCAGAAGTGTAAAGGTGCCCTTCCCTTAATCTCTGATTTACAAGTCAGTTACAAGCTTTTGTTTCTTGAGATTTAACTGTTTTCAAAATCATCCTGAGGCATCCTATATGTTTTAGACTTCCCACTTCTCCTTGTTTGTTCCAAAAGACTACAGCATAAGGATAAAATTGCCAAGAATTCTAAGGAGTTTACAATCTGGTTCTTGCAGGTATCAGGACTATGATGGGTTCTTGAAAAACAAAAGTCAACCATGCCACATTTAGCCACTAACATCTGAGAGTTAAAAACTTAATGTTTTAATTGTGAATGGCAACTTATCTGATATAATTCACACAGAATTTGATTTATATACTATATATATACACATAGAAACCACAGTCACTAGAATATTTGTCAGTAGAATGTACAGATTAGGTAACAAGTCAATATAAAATCTCATTTGGAAATAAATTGAATATAAAATTAAATATAGGAAAAACTAAAAGGAGCAAACAAATCAATCTGTATTTAAAAAAAAAAAGTACTCACTATGACAAGTTGGACATCTTTTTCCATTGTAGGAAAATCTACTTAATGTCATATCAAAATCTGTAATAATCTATTTAAGGAAAGAAAAAGCAAAACTGTCTTACAACATGGAGGAACAAAATAAAGAATGGCTAGAAATTCTGAACGATCAACAATAGCTGCAGCTGAGTAGCATGTGTGTCATAGAAGCCTCCCTATTCTATTGAGCCATTGTCATGGAAGCTAGCATATCCCAGAAGAGTAATTGGTTTTTTTAACAAAACTGTTTTTCTCATTTCTTTGCTGAGAATAGTTTCTGAAATTACTAAGCTTCTATGCGTATGTCATTTACTTAACTAGTGTCTGGCTGAATTACACTTGAATCAACAAGGACTATTAAAAGAGTTAACATGTCTAAGTTTTGGAGATTTCTTGAAGGTTGAATTCTATTACATATATACAGTTATGCTTAAATTTTTTGGCATAGAATAACAATCTCACAGCTGCTTTTATTCCAAACTCTTTGCACCTTTACCTGAAGTTTGGCAGCTCCACCTTTGATGAGGCCACAAATAATCTCCTCTACTCTTGCTGGATCCTTAATATGGACAGTCTTCTTCTGAAATTCCGGCATCTATGAAGAGTAAGAGCAAAGACATAAATACACTTGCAGAGGAAAACCTCCAAGGCAACAGCTGCTGTCCATCAGGCTGGAAGCTCTGCATCTACAAACAGTTTCATGTGACATCAAGACATGATCAGGACAGAAAGACAAGAGTAAGAAGAAGCAGAAAATACTCTGGATGTATTAATCAATGACTGCATACTGTTCTGTTTGCTTACAACATCTGTTTTCATTTCCTTGCCTAATATCACTTTATTCAATAAGCTGACACTCAGAAAAGGTCATTATAGTTGTAGGAAAAAAGGGAGATATGTAGGAACAGGACATATGGGATCATCTTGTGATTCAGATATGGCACTAGGAGATGGTAAATCTTAAAACTAACTCTCTTTGCAATTAATGTGCCCGTAAAATATCAGAGATAAAGAAGACATCTATTGTTTCCTTGAGAATGCTGAATTAGTGTCAACTGGGTACTTCAATACAACAAGGCTGTGCAGCAATCCCTCCTCCCTAGCCAGTCCATCAATTGCTACCATTATCTATTTCACTGCACATTTTTGAAATAACATGATATCACTCTGTGCATTCCTTTTGGATGAAGTATATTTCTTGAATGTTTTGATAAATGAAGAATTTGGTATAAAACAAGAAAAAAACCCCTAAAATCCACAAACCCCCATTCTTTCCCAAACAATTCCCTAAGCCTTTGTTTACTCTAAGAGTTTATCTTTAAACTTGCAGAACAGTAGAAGAAATATTTATTTACAGGAATTTCCCAGTGTAGCAGGTATTTATTTCCTTTATAATCATGTATGGACCCATTCTAAAGAAAAGAATCTGCAATCTGTCTAAATGGGCATTTATGAGTAGTAAACTTTATTTTCTGTTTATAAAACTTCAGAGATGATAAAGTGTTAGGAAGAAAGAATCACCCTTTCTTTTCTTATAGCTAGCATGAAATCAGTGCTGCAATGAGCTAATTAAAAAAAAAAAAGGTGTGTGGGGGGTGATTCTATTTCAGGAAGTTTCTGGACCCAGAGTTCTCGTATCACCAATTGTCAGTAAGTCATGCAGAACTGTTTCTTCCAGCTCTTGATTCTAGCAAGTCTTTTCTTCATTAGTAACAGCCAACTTGCAGTCAAATTGCAATTTGGTTATCACATAAGAAACAGGTGCCATTTTAAGGTATGCAAATATATGTTTTTGTAAGGGAAAAGACACTTGTGTGCCAGACACAAGAAGGATCCGAACATACCTTGAAATATCAGCTCTAGTCCACTCTGTTCTCAGGTGGGAGCAAAACGTTGCAGCTACATCCTTATCAGATGAGCAGAGGCTCATCTAACTCTTTGTTCAAACCCCCCACTCACATATTCCTCACATTCCTCAACTACCTGTATGTTTAGAAAAGTTTGCCTAATGTCTAATCTTCCTTACTGTAATTTTAAGTCATTCAACTTGGAGAAAAGTGTTCTTTTTCTCAGATGCTCATTGGATAAATTTTTCCCTTCTGCCTGAAAGTAAAACCCCAGTGTTCTTCAATCTTCTTTTGCAGAACACAATTTTCTAAATCTCTGATCATTCTTGATGCTGTCTTGGCCCACCCAGTTGAACCACGTTGTTTTTCCAACACAGTATCCATGACTGTGGGTAAAACCTTTCTGCTCTGCTCTGATAAGGCCTTGGCTGAAGGGCCACTTTGGCCCTTGTCTTCAGGTAGCATCTTTGCATGTATATTAAAACACATGCCCTGTCTTAGCGGTAATATGGTGAGAATGACTCAAATTCAGTTGGAAATAACCAAATATTCTCCAAAATGACTCCTAGAAAGAAATGGGTATTTGTGCAAAATGTTAAATTTTATATTTAATCATTCTGGATTGTATCTTTTCTTCCACACCAGTGCTCCTACCTTTCGGTAAAACAAATAATTCTAAATCCCCACTGTGCTTACTGCTACTTTCTGGCTGATATCCTCAAAGACACTGCTGAAAACCGAAAACAGAAATCCTTCTAGAACCCTAATCATGAGTCTCTGATAAATTTCCAAGTTTTTCTGCCCATTCAAAAAAGTTTCACCTATACCACAGTATCTTGTCAAAAATTCTGTCCTGAACAGGGTATTCACTACTTCTTTGCTTTATAAATCTCATAAAGAAACAAACTCTATTAATTTCACTTTGATTGGAAGAATTAAGGTTTTCCTTTCTGATCCTTTGGCAAAGACATTTTCTGTAAAAGTGGTATCTCCTAAGGCAATATCCCTGAGTTCCTTGTGTTGTTGCAGTGTCTTGCTACTACTTCTTTTAGCACAGCAAAGCCACAAAAAGTACATCAGGATTGACTTCCAGCTCTCAGCTACTTCCCAGGCTGGGAGTCATTGAGAAGGCTAATGAGTGTTGATAAGAAATAGAATTCCTGAAAAATATCCATTAAAGAATTCACTAATATTTAGAGATATACCTTAATCTTTAGAGATATACCTTTACAAAGCATTTATTTATTCACAATTAGCAGCACATCTAGCTTCACAAAACAAAATATTAATAATCTGTAACTCCTTAAAGGTGCTTTATGCTATTTCTTTTGTATGTTATATGGTGCTGGTAAACAAAAGTAAGCTTTCCACTTTTTTCTGCATATACAATATTCTTTATAATGAAGCACAAAGCACTTTGACTTGGTAATTTTTGTACTGTAAATTGACTAATTCCTTTAACTATCAGCAAATTATATATGTATTTTTAGATTTGGAATGCAAAAATCAAACACTGAAATCCAAATGCATGGTTTTCAAAGAAGTGGTTAAGCATTGTTTGGTTTACTTAGATACTAAGCAACAGATTTCCTAATATAATTAACTTAAACAGATGTTGGGGTAGATGGAGAGATCAGAGGAAGGGACTGGATGAGGAAAATTGGATTGTTTGGTACTGTTTCATTTCAGACTGAGCCCTTTCGTAAGTTTCTGAAACAACCTGAGGAAAAATCTTGGTAAACACTTTAGTAGATCACGTCAAACAAGAACTTGCTTAAGATATCAAGTATGATGAAAACTTCCTGCTTTGATGTTGTAAACTCATACTCAAGATCAGTTTATAAGATTAATTTATTTCTAACACACTCTTCATTTTTGCACACAAATCGGTTGAAGAGTATTTTAATTTAGGGGTGGGAGAAAGTCTTCTGCAGCAATTATAACCCAGGCATTTTCATTCTCACAGGAACTCTTAGAGGAAAAAACAAGTTTACATTACAGGTGTAACATCTGATAAAGCCTCAGACAAATAGGGTTAGACAAAATAGCCACTTTTCCTATCACTAGTTCCTGGTATTAATATTTGCAACTGAACATTAAGCAGCAATTCTTTTATTTATTCTTATCATTATTATAGTAGAAGTAAATGAAACTGCTTAAGGACTGGGTAAATGAAACTGAAACTGCAGCCACCAGTTTTCTGGCAAACTGTCTCCTCCAATGTTCTACACTTCTGCCCAGTTTAGCTGTTGTTTTGTTTTTGCATATTTGCCATTCTTCCCACTTGAAAGAAAAAAGCAGATTCTAGTTAGAAAGAGCTGATAAGACAGATGAAAGAGTAAATGGTGAAAAGTTCAGTCAATTTGATAAAATTAGTGTTTCTATTTACTGTTTAAGAAAATTCTAGCAGTCAATTCAGTGCGCACACATAAACCTCCCAAAATTCTGATGCACCAGTTGACTGGGATGAGCACAGATAGAGAAGCAGCCAACCAAAAATATCCACAGCACTTAACTAAGTCAAGAAAGCTTTTCAGAACCAGGAGCTTCTAAATACAGAGCTAAAACTACATAAGCACAGGAAAAGGAATTCAAAATTCATTGTGACATCTGAAAGTACATTATGTTAAATTACTTAAGTGCCCCTATTTATTCTGTCATATTATAAAAGTGTGAGAAGAGTTTTGCTTTCTTACCAAGAGCATCTATATGCTAATGAATAGCTCAGGGCCTGGTGTGTCTTAAAACATATGTATGGCAACTCCCAAAGGTAATTTGAGGTTGGTGTACACACTAGCCACAAATACACTTTAGTTTCTAGTCTCTGACATTTTTAGGAGCCTCTGAGAGAAGGAAGAACAAAACTGAAAAAGATTATTTTAAAGGTTGAGCTTAGTTGGATTTATGAAAAAGAAAACAATTATCTGCTTGTTTGTGATAGCAGGTACCTGGAATAAGGATGTAGGAAATTATTTTGTAGCTAAGAATGTTATGGTCATACCTTGAGGAATGAACAGTAATGGATTCACGCAGGTTTGGAAATCCCCCAGTCCTACAAACCACAGAATGGGTCATTTACCACAAGGATAGTTCTGAAAATTACAAATCTATTTAGTACATGAGACATGCATCTGTGTAGCTGGGTTAAGTAAAGAGAAGTATTTGCCATATTGAATTCTAGTTTTGAAATGAAGTTTCTTATATACAACTGGATAACAGAAGTGCAAAAGAACTGCTTTTATGTATCCAGGTGCTGCTTAGTACATAAGTTGTCTTCTTAGTATGTGAGGCAGCGTGTATCTAAGTGCATGCTGTGTCAGTTTGATTATAAAACAGGAGCTGGTAATAAGACCTGTCATTCATTTTAGTGATCTAAGTGAATTTACAGCTGCCATCATAGATATTTCCAATTAGGGATCCCAGGAAATTAAAAACTGATTGTGTCCACAAGGAGTAATGTCATGTTCTGGAGCTAGGATTATACTGAATTTTTCAATCTACTGAGTGTTTGAAGTACAGCAGTTGTTTTCCTCCCCCTACCCAGTAAAACAAGTCCTGATGATTAACACAAAAATGAAAAAAAATCTAATAAAAAACTCCATATAAAGGACAACTGAGTGACCTTTTGTGTTCACTGTCAGTTATTTTAAGTAGGGAAGGATGAGTTGATCAATTACTTGCTATCTTAACTACATAGAGATATGGCTCATTTCACAACCAACTCTAGACACAGAGCCTAAAATATTACTAGTACTAACTCAAACTGTAGGAGGTTGTCATCATAAGTCTGCTAAGTAATGCTCTGACGAAGGACATAAAATGGTGCAGAGTATTTTTATACTGATACCCTGTAAGCCTACACTACTTGGCAAATACCAAGTTTTCTTATTTTATAAAGACTCATCTAGTATGGAAGCCTCCCAAAACCCAAATCGTTGCTAAGAAAACACCCTGGATTATAAGTGGAAAAAATTTTAAGAGAACTTCTGTATAAATCTCAATGATTGATGGAGTACTTTGTTAGATGTCAGTAATTCTGAATCACAGTAAGAACTGTTCTCACACTTGAAAATGTATTAAAAATATTCCACAAAATTTTAGATTACCATAATGTCATGAAAAGGACAGGGTAACAAATAAGATCGAAATAAAGATCTAGCTCTAATGCTATTGACAGAATGTGAATTTCAAGTATAACACAGTTTCTTTTTTCCTACTTTGTTGGTAAACCTGCCTGAGACTAGACTAGGTTTCAAACCTTTTATCTTTTGATAGAGAGAACACACAAGGGTGGGCTGGCAGGGAGAGAGAGCTATCCATGTTATTTCTGAGCGAGGCAAACAGAAATCAAAGTGATAAATTGGCTAGGGGAAAATTATTTGTAAATTTTATTCTAATCTATGGTGACAGCTTCCAGGTACAAGAGTATAAACCAAGACTAAATGACATTTATTTTGGGAACTGCAGATGCCCAGTTTCAAGGTCTTAGACTAGCTATCACATATATTCACTTATGGACATGTACCAAAAAAGGCAGGGCATGGCAGCAGTGATAGCTGTGAAATTTGATACCCAGAAGCTACAGAAAACTGGTTTTGGTGTTCTTGGTGGAAGAAAGAAAAGGTTTGGTAAAAATATAAAGAAATAGTGTACATTCCTTAATTTACATGTTATTTTCCAATCCTTTTTTTTTTCTTTCTATTATTACAGAACATGACTTGCTCTACCAAACAAAGCTTAAAAACCTTCTGAAAGCATGCAAGCTTCTCTATGTAATTTCTGCTGCTTGCAACATTTGAGTTGCAAGAAACTGGGGAGCTATAACAAAATCTACAGAATGACACTGTGAGAATCTTTTCCTCCATATGCTTATGCTCATGTATAAAGCAAGACTGCCTATAATTCAGACAATTTGAATTCTGGCCCATGAGTGCAACAGAGGTCCCTCTTAGCTACTCCAGCTGTTAGTAGGCTTATATTTTAGACAGGAACATCAAAAGGTACTGGACATGGGTGTAATCACATCAATCACTCCATTATGTGCAGGTAGTCAGGAGAACTTCACTAGTTATGGTGCACTCTTCTAGCATAATCTGAGCTTAGGACAGAGACTCACTAATTTATAACTCCCAAAACCATAATACATGTTATATTCAGATGATGCAAGCTCAAATATGGTAAGAAATCCTTAGTAACTAGTAATTACCAAATTACTATTTTAGTAGTTCTGCCAAGAAATAGCCTTAGGACTACTTAGTTAAAAAGTAATTATTATGAGAATGAAACAACAGAACACTAAGTATCTTCACAGTTCCTTGATAACATGCTGTAAAACTAGATACCCAGCACAGGTTGTATGAAATAACTGAAAATGGGTTCATTGCTTAAGCTATTTTAAGACATGGAATAGGATGCACACTAAAACAAATTTTTCCTGGTTTACTGTGTTCATTTACATATTTTTATACTTAATATGCTGGATTCTGATACTGAATTTGGAAAAAATAAAACCCTTATAAAAATCTGGAGAGAGCGCTTTCACAGAAAACATGACAACAGCATTTCCTCTTGTGTTTTTAAAGGAGAGTACCTGTGCGTTGAGCTTAGGGCACTCCTGATTCTTCTGTCCTTGATTTTGTCCTACTGCAACAGCATAGGTGGCAAGCAGAGTCCAGAGATGCAGGGCTTGCATGCAGGCTGCCAACAAAAACCAACCAAATCCTTTTAAGAATTGGTCTGCTATATTATGTGGTCTTTCTATTCCTGCTGTATAAAATAAAAGCCAACATGCATGGTACATAGCGACATCACTGTGAAAATACCAAGACTTCAGAATAGTCTGACACATAGTTAGAAGTAGAGGAACATTTAAGCTATTCAATGAAAACCACTAAGTATATTTATTCCTTTGATGCTGTTGCTCATTCTGTGTATCAAATTTTTAATTTAAAAATACAGTTTTTTAGGTTTTTTCACAGTCACAATTAACAACTGTAAGTAAGCCCTCAGCTCATAACCTTGGCTTAAAAACACAGGCAAGAAGACAGTCAACACTGCTGACAGAAGCTGTGCACACTTACCAGAGGGTTTTGCAGGAGCAGCTGCAGAAGCAAAAGAAAATTCCTCTTGCTTGAGACACACTAATATAGCAGCACAGGGTGCAGTTGAGGGCGTTTCCAAATACAGCCTGACTAATCCCCGTGCAAAACCCCAGGGTCCTGTGACGCACGTCAGCACTGCACAGCAGTTTGTTATGCTCAGCAGTACAGCCCGACGGGCTTACAGATCCATCAGCTGGTTCACCAACAACAAAACCTTTGACCTTCACTGAATGAACAGCTTTCATGGATGCAGCAGGCAAATTTGGGCTGCTCTAATAGAGGAAGGCAGTTGTTGTTCAAAGCAGAAGTTTACTACTTTGTTATTTTTTAGCCCTTTTACAAAATCTTTCCAAGTATTTTAGGATTTCCCATTGCACGGCGCCACAAATTTCTTAGAGCTTCGTTGACATGGTTTCATTAAGATTTACTAGGCAGCACACATTTATTCATGTAGAAGGAGCAAATGAATTAATGAATCTTTGTTTTGGCTGTAATTATCTGTGTGATACTGAAACAGGAAATCAAGGAGCCTTGTTTGTCAGGATTTTTGAGAGCCAAGGCAACTCCACATAGTTTTAGAAGTTTGTCATTAGGCATGCTGCCTGATCAAAGACCATAACTAGGTGACAGAAGATGGATTATAAAGAAATGTTTTCTAGAGTGAGGGGATGAAAGACCTATTGTCTAATTGTATTTTACATTTTGAAGTTGTGTAAATGCTAGTGTCACGCAAAGCTGACTATTGCTATAGCAGCATTGCAAGCTTCTCTATTACTACCCCGTAACTCATGTTCAACCTCAGGTTTATGATCCCTGTTTCAGGATGCCAGGACTAACCACCAACATCAGCCAATTCATACATGGCCACTAATGTGACCAGTGTAATTGTCAGAGCTGAAGCAAGGGCAGGTTACAAGTGTAGCATGTACAAAACCTGTAACGCTATTAAAAAACCCCCAACAATAGCAGGGCTCTAGAAATTCATTAGTTATGAAAATATCTGGTGTGCTTTCTACACTAAAAAAAACAAACAAAATAACAGACTTTCTGAACGATAGAGTAGATCCATATGTTTTGTGTCTGCATTCCAACTGTAGGCTACTAGGTAGTCTATCAGGATTCCTCAGTGTATCTGACCTACATGTGCACTTTCATTTTGTTTTCAGAGGTGTTCTCTGTTTTTGAGCCAACAAAACAACTGAATACTTGAGCTAATACAAAACATGCAACTTGACTCAACGCTTATCCTCTGAGAATTGACCAAGATCCCCTGAAATGTACATGTTAAAGTCTGCTGTAACCTGAAGCAGTGAAAGAGTTTGAAAAATATGTTCAAAATATAACATAATCCCTGCTATGAGTGTATACAGTAAATTGAACTTACCTGGCATTGGTATTGCCAGGATTCATAGCTAGCACTAAACTACTTGTTATAGCATTTGTACACTGTTGTAACAGGTAACATTCAGAGAATTTTACCCTTCATAGTATTTTATATAGGCAGCATGCTTTTCATTAATATTTTTATAATCATATTTGGGAAACATACGTATAGCGCAGTGTCTTGAATAAATATGAATTATTTGCACAAAAAAAAAAAGGATTTTATGTCCCTGCTAGATTTCCAATGTTAAAAAAAAATGTTACAAACAATGACGTAAAATACTATTGCTAGATGATTCATGTAGTTCAGGTAAGACATCACTTGATACATTCAGTTTGCAAAGAACCTGCCTTTGAGCTGTCAAGAATCTAAAGAAAGCTAGTTTCCTTTTCAGAAAGCTGGAGAAACAAAAACAAGATATTTTTTAAAAAATTTATTTTATTAATTTTTTTCAAAATTAAAAAAAAAGGAGTTACAGAAATTAAGTCCAACTCTTACAGACTGTTTTTCGTATACCAGACTAATTGGAAAGCATTCTACATGAACTATTACAGTCTCAGTGAAAGCCCTAGAAAATGGCATGAGCAAAATTTCTGTAAACATTAATACAGCCAACACCTAATTCTTAGAAAAACATCTACACTATCTTTATCAACAGTGTACTTTCACTCTAATGAAAATGCCATACATGAAACTTCTCAGCTACAAAACAAGACTGTCTTTGCAACTCCAAGAAATCTTTGTGTACAACACTTTAATTACCACAGCTCCTTCTAACCACATTCTATTACTGCTGATTTGAGCCTGTTAAGCATTTTGTTTACAGTGTTTAATGTCTGGTAAAAGAGGAGTTAAAATGAACACTGATTTTTTATAGAGAGAGAAATAAACTCCAGCATGACATTTCTACTCTTGAAATATGGAAGGTCATTTCAATACATTTTAAGAACCACAAATTAAAGAGGTGTAGTTATTTCAACAGATAGAGTCTATTTTAACATTTTCTCTTTGGCTGAGGGCCATATCTTGACTACAGAATATTTTATGCAGAAAAAGAGAGTGAGGAAAAAAAGAACAACACTGAAAACACTAGATGATTTATAATTTATATAAGACTGGGAAAAGGTTCAACTTTATATGCTCATGTGTTAGGTGAACTTGGTTTGTAGAGGATGCTCTTGAATATGAAGCAAGTTTTAGTCTAAAGCAAAGAAAAGCTGGTTCTACCAGTCCTTCCACACCTGTGACCTAGGTTGCATCCATTTATGGAAAGAATTAGCACAGGTATATTGCCTAAGCAAGTAAGCTGAGCTTTTTCTTTAACGAATAAATGGAAAACTTCAACTAAACTGACATAAACTTTTAAAGATCAAGAACGAAGTCATAGCTTTTTAGATTTCCTACAAAATTTAGAGGTGACTGAATCCTGTGTAAAGTGATTGAATCTTTGTTGTAAACATTAGCTAGTGTCTTTTCAAGAGTTTACTAGCTTTTTTTCCTGTTTAGTGACTCTACCACAACTGAGCAATTTTTGAATATACCCCTATATATTTAGTACGTTGCTCGACTTTACTTGAGCAATACCTTGCTTTATTGTAGGGATCCATTTTAAACATTAAAGAACTGTATTTGTTGCCTAATTTTGCTTTTGTACTAAGTTTACTTAGTACATATTTTCCAAAACAGCCTACTTGATATAACCTCATGAGACAGGGAAAGGTACCTGAACTTTGGTACTCAAGTACCAGGACCAAGCAGAAGAAAGGAACCAATACAACCCTACTGTACTCAAACATGATTATTATTCATGCCCTAGTGAATTGAGTTAATGAGCAGCATAATGGCTCCAGGAATAACTTTTTATATCTGTGACAATTACAAGGAAAGTAAGATCAATGGTCAGTTTGATGAAGCTGGGGTACATAAAGGTTTAGAAGGTTGCTTGCAGGAATTTTGGATACCACTTATCTTTGCAGTACGGGTTTGGTGTAAAAACCCATGGCAGCCATATTTACAGTTGGTATGATGCAAAGAACTATGATTTGTATATGAAAGTGTGTGTCTGTCATAGAGATCACTTGTGAGGAGTGTAAGCAATTTTAAAAAGAAAGAGCTTGAACAGCACATGTTATGAAAAAATGCTAAGAACATATTAAAGACTGAATTCAACAAATTGTGACAAATCCAGAGATGGGACATGCTAAGAAGATGAGGCTCTTAACCTGAATGGTATCACAAGACATACTTGTGATATTAAAATCTCTATATCTTTTAATAGAGATTTTCTGGTTCTGATCAGAGATCCAGGTTTTTTACAGTTCATGGGAAAACTGGTGATCATCTAATAGTTGATCATTTATGGCTGTACCGAAAGCTTAATGTCAACACACACACTAAAACAAATCCTTAAGCTTTTTTTCTTCTGTTTAATACATTTCTCTGATGATAGAATAAAAGATATTGCAGCATCATTGTCCCTTACGCAGCTTCTTCTTGCGATTACAAAATCATTCTAAAAGAAGATATTTCTGTTGGTGATAGATCAACAGACATTTTGGATCTTACAAGAAAATGAAGAACTAATAATAACTAGGGTCTACATTTCCAGTATTTCCTGTGATCCTGTCAGTTACGAGTTTGGGCAAGAATTTAGTCTGAGAGAATTCAGGAGGTACAAAACATACAGAACAGTTCTGGGGTGAATGAATGCAGCTCAGGATAGGCATTTTTTTCTCTGATTGTATATTAATCTTTGTGCTTAGCTGCCATTCCCTCATTGTGGAGAGATTTAACCTCTATAACTGGCAGGCCAAAAGAAAAGGTATGTACTATTTAGTTATCAGTAAGTATCTGGAAATGATGAAGAGATCTTCAGACATTGCTAATGATAATCTTGGAAATACCACAACTATGTAGCCAAATTTAAACTGATGGGTTTTTTAATCATCATTGCTTCTCTCCTGCCCTTGTGAAAAAAAAGAATATAAAAATATTCTAAATGTAAGCAAGTTCAGATCAATACAATATAAATTTTTAAAAATAGCTGCTAAAGCACCAGGATTGAAAGAAGAATTCAATGTTGTAACACCTTTTCATTGCTTGGTAGAAGAATATGGAGGATTTTTTCTTGGCCTTCATACATACATTTCACTATTCTTACCAGAGCTTTCTGGATAAAATCTTTATAAATCCATTATGAACTTGGAGCTTAA